AGGAACCAACAATTGGTTGGTTCCCAGCAATGCAGGATGAGGTTGTTCATGTGTAGTAATGAAAGGCTTACATATGTGCCTGTAGACTTAAGAGAAATGGAGTAAACTGCTAGCGCTGTGGTTCTCAGGCTTGGTGTTAAAACCCCAAATGGAGTCTCAGCCCCATGAGTTGGAAATGCAGTTGCAGAAGTGGGGCTTGAAGCCAGAATTGGGGTTGCTGGCAGAATACCTCGGTAATTGTTGCTCGAGTAGTATACTTTTCTCTACTGGGGAGTGGCAAGAGCCTGAATTTTAAACTGTTTGAAAGGCATACATGTGTCAGGTGTCCTATGAACGCTTCAGTGGTAATGAATAATAAAGACCTGATCTCTTCTCACAAAAAGCTTGTTTTAAATATGAGGAGTAAATGTTTTGTATTCAGTCGCTGGGCAGTAGCAAATCTGTTTCAGAGATAAGGGCACCAGAAAGAGCATGTGGTGTGCCACTGGTCATCTAATAAAAGTCGTCAGGAAATGTAATGGGAATACTACCTTAGGATACTGTGCTGCTTCCAGCTGCAGACATGCGAACAATGGCCATTCAGTGCCTAAAATAAAGGAGGTCAGGAAATGGGTGTGCTAGTGAATGGTAAGTAGCTGAATACCAAGGTGTTGCTTGGACTGAAGTGGCACATGTTAAATTATGAATGGACAGCATAGCTATTGTGCTTGCAAGCAGGCTGGTGTTTCTTTATTTATAACCAATTAGAGCACATTTGGTCCAGGTTAATTGCTTGGGTTTCATTGTACAACAACAACCCCATAAATGGTAGGTAAAAGGCTACAGAATTTTTTTGGGGAGGGAAAAAAAAACAAATGATGAGAGGCAGGGAGTGAGGACCCGCATGAGTGTGCATAACAGCATGGAGTCAAACAGAAGACAGCAAACGTTGAAAGTTAGCTCTCTATAAACAGTTGTAGCTAGTTGCTAACTTTGCCTTTATTCTATCTAATGACAAGTACCTCTCTGTGGATAATTGACAGTTGCAAGTTCTAGTTTTATTCAATTAAACTGGTGGCCTTTTAAAGGTTTGCTTGAGACAAAGCCAGTAATTTTAGTTTAGTAAATGTTGGAGGCACTGCAATGGAATTGCCAGAAAACCTACCATTTTGGTTGTTTTAAATAACTTTTTATTTGTTTTCTTAAGCAGGGATCTGGTTCTCATTTGCCTCGCACCTGTGGAAAGGGAGCAGAGGGGGTTATCCGGAGCAGATTGGCAAGGTTGCCCTTATGCTGTGTAGGACATGGTGCTATGCTGCCCTGTGCACTTCTGTCACGTCATTTTAGGGTAGTGCAGAGTGAGGGGGAGTTAGAAGCTTTTGTAGAATTGGACTTTAACTTCTCTGTGACTCCATCTGTACATCTGGGGTACTATCCTGTCTGCATTTGAGAAGGGAGGTAGGAAGATGAATCTATTAAAGGCTGTGAGAGTTCTGAAAATGAAGCTGGAGACAATACAACTACCTAGAGTAGATGGAGCATAATTTAGCTGTGTTGTGCCTTTGTTTTGATTTTAGTTTTAATTCATTCATCTGGTATAACTTAAAAAAAGCATAGCCCACTCATATCTGAAACTTCCTGTTGTTTTTGTGAACAAATAACTTTTAAAACTGTGTATAGTATAAATCATGAGCCCTTGTGATCCCTGGACATGTGCAAAGTCCAGCCGGAGGGTATGTTGCACCATGTATTGATTAGACTCATATGTTTTTATGCAGGGTTCCAGGGCCTAAGTGATATGATGCTGTTGAACATCTAATGCCCTAACTGATCTCCTCCCTTGCAACCAGCTCCCTAAGCAGGCCAGAGAGCAGAATGGAGGAGAGCCCGCAGAAAGATGGCAGAGGTTGGCTGGGGAACCATATGTGATGTTATGTCCACAAAAAAAATAAGTGGGTGGCCCTGCCCTACTGATATTCCTGTATGTTGCTGCTTTTCATACAGATGAAGTCTAGACTTGAGGCTGTTCCTACAGTGCTTATCACATTCCCTTCTCCTTCTGGCACGTGCATTTTCATGCAGAGGCAATGGCATGCTGCACTGCAATAACCAGATTCTCTTGGTTATTGCATCAGTTTTCCCCTGATCAACCCATCCCACTCCTTTTTGCTAGAGGAGGGGACCAGTCAGCTCCCCTGGTATGTTTGATAAATGTATAATTAGGCAGTTAAATATAGTTCGTTGAAAGCAGCAGTTGTGCAGTAATGCCTTCAAAGGTAAATGGTAAAATCTATCACTGGAGACTTTACTTTTCATGAATCATTCACCAGGGACTGTGCAAATTTCATGCATCCACATGGATCCCTTATATTTGCAGGTAAAACTCTATTGCTAAATTTATTGCACACATACTGTTAAACTATTAGTCTTACATAATGCAAACACCAGTTTCTTTTTCTTTTCTTTCTTTTTCTTTTTTTTTGGCAGGGGCATATTTTGCTTTTACCATGTCAGTAATGTAAGTTCAGAGGGTCTGATTCACAATCTGCTGAGCCTAATAGGAAAATTTCCCTCACCTTCCATAGCTTTGAATTGGCCCCAAAAGGCACATTACTATGAGACTGCAGATTTTTGGCTAATGACAACTGGCCAGATTTGACCAGGCGTTGTCTCCAGACGGACTCTTCTGGAGTTAGACTGGGGAGGGGGTGCCAAGAGAGAAACCTTGCCTACTTATGCCTGGTTTATGTGTAAGCACTCTTGGGGTTGAAGAACCTGAGCATGGTAATGGCATGCTCAGGGATTTGCAGGCATGTGCTTGAACCATCTTCTCTAGCTAATTTGTAGGCTTGGGTGTTCTTGGGCTCCCTCCAGAAGCTGTATTCACGTAGCATGGGGACTGACTCTTATCTTGTGTTTTACATGCTCACGTATGAGAGTGGCCACATACAGTGATGTTGCCATTCCAAAGTGGTAGTACCTTATCCACGATTTGTACTGGTGCTTCAACTATGCATGGTACCAAGAGAACTGAGAATTGGGCTCCATTTGATCTAAGTTTCTATGAAAGTGGTAAAATGCTGTATATTGGGGCATATTTGTGGGTTGATCTATTCAAGATTTATACAAAATTCAACACAAATGCTTATACAAAGCTCTAGGAGCCCATGTAGTAGCAATAACAATTAAAGAGGAGCTTCCCTCTTTTTCCACTGATAGTCAACACAGCACAGTTTTATGAAAGGCAATACTTGTCCTTAGAGAGAGTAGGATCATAAGAAAGTCAAGTTGAAAGGGACCAGATGAGGTCATTTAGTCCAGCCCTCTGCCCAAGGCAGGATCATTGCTTCCTACAGTCAAGTGTCTATCTAACCTGCTCTTGAAAATTTCCAAAGATGAAGATTTCACACTTTGTTTAATGCTCAGTGGTATTATTTACGTAAAATATTTACATGTATGGATGTGCCATAAATACATCTTTTACTTGCATCAGTATTTTTGATGTTTTATATGCACTGAACAAGTTCTCAGAGAACCCAATCCAGATCAGAGCCCCAGTGCTCAAGGCTCTGCCCAGACACATGGTTAAAAAAAAAAAAAAGGGTCCTCAAAGAAACAGTACATACTCTCTTTTAACCTATAGCTTTGTTCTTAATTCTGAGTAGCTCTGGGATAGAGTTTAAATGGAAGAGGGCATAAGTTGCAAAGCAAAGATGTCATCTTGTACTTCTTACCAAAGTGGAAGTCCCAATATTACTAATTTTCCCATTTTACATTGCGAGTTTGCCATGTTTTGTTACTCTCCTAATGCCCCAGCCTTCCTAGGATTACAAGGGAACCTCCACTGTCTTTGAAGGAATTTTCTAGCTCTCACACCTGTGGAAAAGAGCTTGCAAGTGACAACTGTATGGACCACACGGTTGCCTTCACAGCAGTGCTTCTTGGCAGGCTAACTTAGCTCATGCTGAACTTCAGACTGCTGCACCTAGGTGACGGGCAAGCTAGCTTGGGTACATCTACATGACACAGTATACCCTGAGACACCAAAACACAGCTGGAAATAACCCCAAAGTTTTAACTTTGAAAAGTCTTATGATTTTTTGTTGTTGTGTTTTTTTTTGGGGGGGGGGGAATCTGACGTGATCTTTCAAGAGTTTTGCTTACCAGCGCTGATCACCCAGTAAGCCTAGGGCTGTTTTGCATGTGCAAAGAATGCAGTCCAGGCAGCCATGCGATTTTTGGATGGCACAGCAAGTTTATGGTGTTGCCTTTCACCCTCTTTATTTTTTTCCCTAGGACCAAGCACAGTGGTGTGCAACAGAAGGGATATTATTGTAGTGGCTGCTTCACTTTTTCAAACACTTTCTTTGGAATTATATTTTGCTTCTTGAATGAAATGCAGCTTTACATTTAAAGCTATGGGTTGTGAACTGTTTAGGGGATATGATGATAAATTGCTAAATGTGTTGGAGGCAGTTAGCTTTTGAACAAGAAAGTAGGCTGTCACTGAGGTCAGTCAGCTTCCAACAAATGGAAGATACTGACAAAGAATAAAAATGTGGGAAGCTAATTCCAGCTGGAGACAAAGG